CCTCCAAACTATGAGAAATTTATTCTCCTGTTAAGGCTTTCCCACTTGTGGTATTTCTGTTAGATCAGTACTAGGTAACTGAAAGACATATAAAATGTATTCAATTGTTATTTTAGACCACATTACAAAATGATCTACTAATTACATATACACCATATGACACCAAGATCAAAAAGAAAATCACATACATATTTAATTTCTTATATCTAGTGTGGAATTCTTCCTGTCCAAGTTAGATGCTTGTCGCTGAATATCTTTATTTATGGTGCGATTTTTGAATCATGTAAGGAATTACCTACTCAAAAGATGGTAACATAATCACTTTGTTACTAAAGAATAATCAGTGAGAGGTGACTTACTCTCTAAACGTCCATCTGAATATTGCGCACGTGGATTTTCCAAGGGCAAGTATCTGTCAGAGAACAAATTGTTTAATTTAAACAAAATTGGTAAATTGTGAAGTAAAAACACCGGTCGCCCAACGTGGGGCTCGAACCCACGACCCTGAGATTAAGAGTCTCATGCTCTACCGACTGAGCTAGCCGGGCAGCCCTATGAATGTGTTGAAATTTACAAATTCAAGGTTAATTTAGGTTTGTCTCCACGTCTACTGTTTAATTTTGGGATTGTAATTACGTTTATGAATTACAGTGCAATCAAGTTACTAAGGGACCTTCCTAGCCGACCGAGAACTTCTAGTTCAAGTTCTGCCCTAAGTACCTGAGAATCCTCACTTTTGTCGTCCACCCTACTAGCAACCTAGCTCTTTTCCATCTGCAAGAAGAGTACGAGTGAAAGAGGAGGAAGGGAAACGTTTGCACGCTGGTGTCACTGGCGAGAATCATCCTTACAGTTTTTAAATTCGGGGTCCAATGACAATGTCTGAGGCGCAGAGGAGAGAGAGAGAGACAGTGCAGACTGCCTCCTACCTGCGCAAACTCCACCCTCTTGCATTTTCCCTTTGTGCTTTGCTTGTGCGCGAAGCTTCGAAAGTGGAAAGGCAAAAATGAAAAGAGGCGCTCGCCCGCGCTGGAGATGCCGGGGATCGAACCCGGGGCCTCATACATGCAAAGCATGCGCTCTACCACTGAGCTACATCCCCGCTCCAGTCACGCTATCCGCTACAGCTCCCTTGGTCATTGCTGGCGCTGGGCGTGAACCGGAGAAAGAAAAATTATTGTAAATGTTTTATTTGCAGGTTGTGATAGAGTTTTACTCTAATTCAGAGCGATCAGATCTCGATTGAGGAATGCCCCGAGATGACTGGGCGGGGAGAAGCACCTGGAGGCAGTGGTGGAAAAAGGAGAAAGAAGTCATCAGGCACGATGCCCAAGAACTGTGACTTAGAAAAGTACGGATGCAGGTTGCTAAGTTTTGTTAAATAGGAGTGTCAGTAAAATATATAGAATGTATATAAAATACTCTAGAACTGTGTTGAAAGTTTATTACTTGGGATGAGGAGGGAACTGGGTGTAAGCGACGGGTGGACTTTTTACTGTGAACCACTGTATCGTCTGAATTTTGAACCAGTTTAAATCAAGTCAAGCAGTTTACTGAATGCATACTGTGTGCCAAGAGCTGCTCTAGAAACTGGGCTTCAGCCGTGGACAAAACCAATGCAGTCTATTCCCTCTTACAGTTCCCATTCCAGAGGTGGTAGTGCTAGAGAGAAAAAAGAGAGGCAGCGTTGGGAGAGGGAGTGTGGTAAGGGCAGATTTTAAACCGTGTTGGCCAGGCAGTCTTCCGCGAGAAGGTGATATTTGAGCCAAGGTTCCGGGGAGGTGGGAAGTGAGCTGTGCTGATATCTGAGGTAAAAGAGGGACAAGCAAAGGAAACAAATCTGGGGTTTTGGCCTGAGCACCTGTAGGGATGGTGCTAATGGCGTAGTGTGGGGAAAGCTGAGAGAAGCCAGTAGGGGCAGATCAGAAGTTCCCTTTTGGAGATAAGCATATGACACTTCTTAGAACACCCAGGTGGAAATGCTATGTGGGGAGCTGGATATGAGAGCCAGGCTCCTAGAGGGACCTGGATTGGAGATGTGTACTGTGGAGTTATCAGCAGTGTTATAGATTGAATTGTGTTTCCCCAAAGTATGTGCTGTAAATACTAATCCTTGTATCTGTGGTTATACATAATCCTTTTTGTTATGTCAATGAAGCAATATTAGCAGTGTAGGGTGTGTGTTAAGTCAATCTCTTTTTAGATATAAATTAAACAAGCAAGTGAGAGATGGAGGAAGATGCCATGCCATATAAAGAACACCAAGGAGCCAAGAAATAGAGGCTGAAGAGATAGCTTCAGAGCTGACATTGCCCTAAACCAATGCTCTGAATTTGGACTTCTAGTCTCCTGTGAGAAAATAAATTTCTTTTTGTCTTGTGGTATTTCTGTCATAGCAGCACTAGAGAACCAAGACAAGGACCATGATCTGACATTTTAATGTAGGATTGTTCCATCCTATGTTATGAGGGTGAGGGCGAAAGCTGGTGTTAAGGGGGAATGAGGAGAGAGAGTGTGGAAGCAGATAATCCCAGCAGCTCTGGAAAGAGGCAGGAGGTGGCAAGAGAGAGTTAGACTTCTTCTTCTTTTTTTTTTTTTTAATAGGTGAAGAATAATGATGAGTAAAGTGAGAATACTATTGTAAATTTTATTTTATTTTTTATTGTGATTTGGGTGAAAGTTTACAGAGCAAATTCATTTACCATACAACAGTTCATACACATTTTCTTTCATGACATTGAATGCAATCCTCACAATGTAACAGCCCTCTTCCCACTTCCTCCCTGCGGCTACCTTCTCCCATTGTCCTTTCCCTTGCATTCCTCCCCTCTGAGCTATCTGCCCTTCTGATTTCCCATGGTTGATTGTTCTAAGGACTGTACCTACCTGGTGGAAATATTCACCCTGTATGCCGCCTGTCTATTGTTTGGCTGGAAGCCAAGGGAGTGAGTTTAATTCCAGCTCTGAAGGGTGACTTGGTGCCATAGTCTTGGGGGTTTCACCAGCCTCTATCAGACCAGTAAGTCTGTTCTCCTTTATGATTTTGAGTTTTGTTCCACATTTTTCTCCCTTTCTATCCAGGATCTCTTACACTGATTCCTTTCTGAGTGGTTGACAGTGGTAGCTGGGCACCATTTAGTTCTTCTGGTCTTATGTTCATGTAGGCTGTAGTTTACATGGTCCAGTAGTTCCTTGGATTAATTGTTTCCATGCAGTTTTGGTTTTCTTCATTTTTCTTTGCTCCAGACCAGGAGAGACCAATTGTTGCATCTTTGATGGCCACTTGAAAGCTTTTAAGACCCCAGT